TGATTTGTTATCATTATTGACAGAAATGCTTGAGTGATTCACTGATGTCCAGTACAGAATGACCCGTTCAGATTATGTGACAGGTATCATTCAGACCCAAAACTTCACAAGTGGGCCTTCTTGCTTTGGACTGAGCTGTGGGTAGGAGAGGTGGAATGGAGTTAACAGCATTGCCTATAGTTCTACAACCTTAAAGAAACAAAGGCCTGTTTCCACCAAAGAAAGCTTTACAGTCCTCTCCAGCACATCCAGAGCTTCTCAGAGCATCACTTATCCAACCCAAAGATACAGAGAGATGAACCATAAACTTTCAGTCAACCAGTCGTTCTCAGACGTTAGTGTCCAGCAAAGTAATTGGGAGGACTTGTTTAAACAGATTGCTGAGCTCCATCTCCATCACTAGGCTTGGGAGAGGACCCCAATTTTTATTTCTAAAAAGTCCCCACATAGTATTGATGATAGTGGTTCAAGCACCACACTTTGAGAAACACTGAGTTCATAGAAATGCTTGAGTTAGGAGTAACCTGACTCCAGGGCAGGAATGTGTGCAGAAATCTTTCCACTCAGGTGAATTGCCTGATAACCCCTGTAAAGATGAGGGTTTTCTTTTTCCAGCCCCAGTGTTTTCAACCCTGAACTCCCTCTTCTTTATAAATTTATTGGTAGGAGAAGTAGTTTCATGAAGTTGTTTTTAAGCTTTTATGAGCCTGACAAAATCTCTTTCAGAGAAACCTATATGTACATACACAGAAGCATTGCTTATAATTTCAGGAGGTGCTGGGACACCTCTCCCACCAGCCTAGCCACTGGCCCTAAAGAGTATCAGTAGAAAAACTATGCCCTAGGGGCACTTGGGTGGCTCCATCGCTTAAGCATCCAACTTCAGCTCAGGTCATGATCCCACAGTTCATGAGTTCTAGCCCCATGTCAGGCTCTGTCCTCAGAGCCTGGAGCCTGCTTTTGATTCTGTGTTTCCCTCTCACTCTGTCCCTCCCCCACTCACACTCTCTCTCTCTCAAAAATAAACAAACATTAAAAAAAAAGAAAAGAAAAATTATGACCTAACACAGTCTTGAGTTCACATGGATGTAACAAAAATTCCCTTCTTAGAATTAATCTTTCAGTTAACTCATTTTTAAAACAGGAATAATAATAGTTCTTACATCAAAGTTTTTGTGAAGATTAACCAATATAATACATGAAAGGGCATAGTTTAAAAACCAAAAACACTAAATATTACCTTTTTCTCTCTCTTTGTAGTCTTGCTACAATAATCCTCATTCTTGAGGCAAGTGGATGCCTCTCCCTACTAAGAAAAGATGAGGAAGTATATGAAAAAAGAGCCCTTAGAGTAATGTTTCAATACCATAATCTATGCCCATCACCTTCTTCCACTAAGATCTGGTCACAAGCCACCATATCCAGGTTCTCCCTGTGAGCCACTGAGCAATCTAGCAAGCCCAGGCTTAGCTGTGACATGAGAGTCTCAATTTATTTGCCCTAAAATGCTCCTCTTTACAAACGTCCAGTGCCTTGTCATGTCCCCATGTTAATGCTTCCTGGCAGAGAGAGAGAAATGTGAAGTTCTAATAGAGGTTTGTTTCTAGGCTAGAAGTTGCTGAATCTCGAGAAGTAATGATTAAGGGCTTAAGCCTGATTCTCCTCATTTCTACAAAAATAACTAAACAAGTACCTTGATAGGCCAACCAGCAGACATTTATTTAGCACCTACTGTGTACACTGTATAATAGATAACCAAAAGAGAAGTAACACATGTCCCTAGGCAGTGCCAACTGACAAGCCAGCAGGGATGATAGATACATGCAAAAATAAGCCAAACAGAAAGTGAGCCTTAGCAAAGGCAATGATTGTGGTTCATACAGGGGTTCAAGAATACAGAAGAGGGAGAAGTCGGTTTTGACGGGGATCCATTAAAGTGTCTTGGGCAAGGTGAGAATCAAGCTAGGCTCTAAAGGAGGAGTGGGGCCATGTTAGGTGACTGTAATGGAGAAGGATATTATAGGCTGTGGAAGTAATTTGAAGAAGAGAGTTTAAAAAGTGCTCAGTTTAACTTGGCATGATTATGATTTAACCAGGGTGACTACAGTATGGGAACGGCGTGGAGGGGCAGAACTTGAGGCTGGAGAGAAAAGTTGGAAGCGTATGGTGGGAAAGAAACCAAAGACCAAGTGAGGGGCTTTGGCTTTACTCTCTGTGCAGTGGGGAAGGATTGAGGATCTTTGGTACCAGGAGCAGATCTGCTTTTACAAGTAAGAGAGCCCTGGTGCCACTGTGAAGAATAGATGATAGAGAGCAAAATGAAAACAAGACCGGGTAAGCTAACAGGAACCTAAGTCAGAGCAGTAGGAGTAGCCAGTAGGTGATGCAGAGGAGAGGTAGGTGAGAGGCTGTGTTTTGAGAATGGTTGAGGACATGTAGCAAAAAAAAAAAAAAAAAAAAAAAAAAAAGGCAGGATGAGAGGGCTCTCCTTGGCACATCCAGTCACAGGCCAGGTTGTTGCATAAAGCAGACCATGAGCTTCAAGGAAGAAACTGGCGAGAGGCCCAGAGACCAGGTGGTAAGGAAACCTCTTGGCTGTCTCAGGAAGTCTTCCCCTTCTTAGAATGCCCAGAAGGGTAGCAACTGACCATCTGCTTTGCCTGCGGAGAATATCAGAATCACCCGTTTCTAGACATGGGTCCTCAGCCTGGCAGCTTCAAAAGTCCTGGAGATCTTTTAAAATAACGTTCAGGCCCTTGCCCCTGTGATTTTGATCTGGGAACCTGAGGTGGGGCCCAGGCATCTGAATTTCGCAATGCTCTAAGGTGAATCTGTTGCACATCTGTTTTGGGGACCCACTGTGGGACCTTACAACTAGTCTGGAAAGTGTATAGAAACCCTGGGCTCAACATGTACTTGTGCTAATGAACACTGATAGGCTGAAGACCTTAGGTTTTGGTCTGCATCAGTGTCTTTAGCACAGTGACCTTCACTGAGTATCTGACACCCTCCCCACCCCCGACCTCTAGTCCTCAGGGAACAACATATCGGGAGATGGGAGAGGCCACATGCTTGCCAGGGTCCCCCAAACGTCCCAAAAAGGCAATGTACATAAAGTCATCCTTTTCACCCTTGTCCCCAATTCAAAAAGGAGAGCTTGGCTATGTCACAAGGGTAACATAAGAGAATCTTGTTACTGGATGCTTTGAGACTCTACGAAACAGGCTACATAATAACACTGTCCATTTTCTGCCAGGCTTATCCAACATTCATAACACTGTTACTGCTATTGTTTTAATTTCTCGGAAAAATAATACAGTTACCAAGGTAAGGCAGGTGTTAAACCTGTCCCTTCTATACAAGGGCTCTCTGTGATTCGGTGACTCGTGTAAGGTCAGACAAACCAGAGCCAGGCCTGAATACCCCGTCCTTCTGAGCCCCGGTTCTGCTTCTGGGCAATGATGGAGAAGGGTAACATAAAGGCATTTTTCTCTCCTTGTAAAAGAGAAAAAAATGGGGGGAGGGGGAATCATTTAAACACACCTCCATACTGCAATCACTGCATTGTTTTTCCTGTTGAAACACCCTGTTGGTTTTTAAATCCCTTTAAACCTACCCGGCACCTGTATGGCCCAGATCCAAGAATTATTTTACCGAACCCTTCACTTTTTATATTTAGCCACATAGGGGTTTCTGTGATGGTATCTGGCTCCTGGTTCAGTTAAAAATTTCAGAGCTTCCAAGAGTTTTCTTCTTCCACAGAAGCTAGAAGCATGCAATGCTCAGACAAGATTTTTTAGTTTTAATTAGGTGGGGTATGTCTCGCTGCTTATGTTCTCCTGCTGGGTAAAACGGTATCATGGCACTACCCTGTATTGCTTCTGTGTGAAGATCCTCCCGAAATATTGACCGAATGAGAGGGCAGGAGAAAGATGGGGGGCGGGGGTGGTCTTCAGAAGCAGCTTATGCATGATTTGTGGGATGACCTCTCTTCAGGGCAAGAACTGAGGCCGAAAACATAATGAGAACTTCCCTGCAAATTCATTATAACAAAGCATAATGTGAGCTCACTGGGCACAAAAATAGGCAGAAGGAAAGTGACTCCCACATAAGACCTAATTAAATACTTTGATGTCAGAAAGCAGAGCAGGGAGGGGTGGAAAATCAAATCCGACCAAAGTAAAGGACCTAAATTCAAATGGAAAGAAGAAATTTCTCTCCCTCTCTCCCTCTCTCCCTCTCCCCTCCCTCCCTCTCTCCCTCTCCCCTCCCTCCCTCCCTTCTCTGTGCCTCTGTCTCTCCTTTTCTTCCTTTGCCATGAAGGAAGAATAAGGCTCAGGAACAATAGGTTGTAAATTCTTCAGCCAATTAGTCCAGTGACTTACTACTGTTTATAATGCACAGAATGTCACAGGCTGTTTTGCAGCCTCCCCAAGTTGGTTTGTTAATAACAGGAAGCTAGCACTTCTCAGTACAGTGGATCAGCTACACGTGAAAATAAATGCAAAAAACCTGGAGGGGAATAGCAGCAGACCAAGAGTAGCCTTGATTTAATTTAACATTTGGGGGTCCGCACACAAATGAGCATTTTAGTAGGCTTCATGGTGGAAGTTGCTGTCATTTGTAAAATATTCTGGCCAATTAGCTAATAGTGTGCTTGGATTTCTCCTGTTTTGATACAGTAATACTAAGTACATTGTGAAGCCCAATTATACAAATCATCCCCATATGCCATACCAGTCTTTCTTTATGAACTGTGTTTATAAATCCTGTGTGAGGAAATGTGTACTTCAGCAATTTAGACCATGTGTAAAAACATAGCCAATGGGATTGTCAAGAAAACAAGTTCCAGCCTAGGAAATCCTAATGTGTTCCGCTGGAATAACAGGAGGGTGCCGGGGAGTGCAATGCTCTGCTTAAATACATATTGCTTTATAGTGTTTAGCTAATTTAGGGGCTTCCGCTTCCTTTTCTGTTATTTTATTCTTCTTTTCTTTTAGGATCCAACCTTGGAGTTTTTGAGAAAATTTGGGATTGGTCTTCTCTCCGGCACAATAGCCTCAGTCATTAACATCCCTTTTGATGTTGCCAAAAGTAGGATTCAAGGGCCTCAGCCAGTTCCTGGAGAGATCAAGTACAGAACCTGTTTTAAAACAATGGCAACAGTCTACCAGGAAGAAGGGTAACATTCTTATTTTAATAAGTGTGCAGGGTTCACGTATTGTTAAAAGCATATCATACTTCCATTTTGATGAGAGCCATTAAACCCTCACAAATTCGGTGTGTGTCGGAAAAGCTCTCATGAATGACAAACTGTGAGATAACACAGTAACAAAATGTTGGCCACAGAGTTCTTACACCATCAAGAACCTCGGGCCACCGTCCTACAATCTGCTCTGTGTTTGTCTGAGAATGCAAAGATGAACTTTTGCTTGTCAGTTTGCACAATATGCCCTAATATACCCTGCTAACATGTGGGCAGGAGAATGATTGTTTTCTCACTGTGAAGCTAATCAAAATGTCACCTTCAGTATAGTCTCCTGGGAGAATTAAACGTGCGGGTTCTGTGAAAGCGGTCTTCTTTCAAAAATGTGAAGTACGTGGGTTTTTTCCTGCTAGTTTTTAAGTCTTACATTTGTCTCTTCACCCCTCCTCACCCAGATCTTATTCTCCAGTAAACAAGTAATATTTTATTATTTCAATCAAAGCTATATCATATTTCCTTTTGTGAAGACTGAGTTTGTGGGCTTTTAAATTTAATCACAAAAGTCATTTTGTCCATATACACCGCTGTCTTGAAAGACCTGTGTTCAAAGCAAAAGCCATCTCACTGATGAAAGTCATATTTTTGATGGAGATGATCAGCAGAGCTTGGGCAATAACAAATTAACTCTTTCCCTTTGTCCAATTTGTTGTAGAAAATATATGGCCAGATAGTGTTTGGTTTACAATATGTGTAATTTCAAATAAGTGTTCTTGTAGACGTTGCCTCAGTAGCTCCATAAAGCTGAGGTACAACCCCATTTTCTTTTCAGAATTAAGAATGTTGCTCTTCCCCTTCCTGTTGCAGGATTTTAGCTTTGTACAAAGGCCTGCTTCCCAAGATTATGAGGCTTGGACCAGGTAATGATGTTTTTATTACATCTTTCCTTCTTTTTTGTTCCAGCATCGCTTTTTTTTGTGTCTGTTGGAAACACATTAAATTTATCATACTGTGAAGGATGAAATCTTGAGGATATAAAGGATATATGAGTATTCAAGATACCAAAGGTATCCATTAGAAATGTTTTTAAAAAAAGTTCTCTACCTTTGTTTGTGAGGTACTATCTAAGGTCTTGCTGGAGGCGGGTAGAAGCCAAAAAGACCGGCTTAAGTCAACAGAAAGGACCCACGGCGAGTTAGAGTTGGAGTGAGCACAAAGACGTACATACAGTGGCTGCTGGCTAGGGGAGAGGATTTTCACTGAGTGAGGGAGCAGCTCAGTAAAACTTTCCTGGTGCCCCTAGTTCATTCTTGTTCCTGCCTCATCTTCATTTCAAAAACAGAAAGAGGGATAACTTGCCTCCACGAAGGGCAAGAGCCATTTGTCTCCCCTTGGTCACCCGTGAGGGTTGTTGTGAATGCGCTGTTCAGGGAGCCGTGGCGCTGCGGCCTGGCACTCACCTTCCGGGCCTCTGTCAGCATGATGGTGGAGGCTCCTGGCTCAGGGCCTTACCTCAGGATGCCAGCCCACAAAAAAAAAAAAAAAAAAAAAGGCTGCCATTCCCACAGGGAGAGTCAGCTGCCTCTATGTAAATAGATGAGAAAATAACTGCTGCAGACCCAACTGCCTGGACAAACAGTCTTGGGTTATAAGCAACCTTAGAGGTATGCACCAGCCCACACAGTTTTTCACCTGGCCACACTCACCTGCTTAGATGTCCTGGTATTCTTTTCCCAGAAGCTTCACCTGCTCCTCTCCTCTCCTCTCCCCCTTTCCCATTCCTCCCTTTTAACCCCAATGTCCTCCTGCCCGACCACACTCGCACACAGGCATGTTGACCAACACATCTCAGCCCAGTGAACCAGCATTTCTACCAATCTGAGATCGAGAACAGCTGACACTTTCACGTATTTAGAAAACACTTCCACAATTCCCAATCCATCGATCCCAACCTTTCTAGTCCTATAAGCATGGATTTTGCTTCACATTTGAGATTCAAACTTCTGTCCGGTCAGTCATTGGCCTGTGTGTAAAAACAAAGCCAATTATAAAGAATTTTGGTGATTCTGTGCAGCTCTCTCTTTACATATGTGGTGCTTTCCCCTCCCCACACAGTAAAAACCTGCTGGTAGACCTAGTATTAGAGAAAATCATAGGAATGACCCTAACCCAGCTTTCTCAGGAGGGGATGGGCCTGAAACGAGTGGTGATCAGGGAGAGTTTACCTAACACAGTAATTGACTGGAATCTTCATCCAAAACTCTTGAATAATCTGACCCCAAGTTTTGTTAGAGGCTTGCAAATGTCTGGTTGGCTCTTCAAATGTTTTTGTATGAGGTGTCCTGAGTTGTTGTGGTGTTAAATACAATGAAATGGGTTTCTGTGAATGTACTGCCCAGGTTAAACAAAATGGTGAATGACTGGAAATCTCATTCAAGGACCTGGCCCCCACTCACCTGTAAGTCCTCCAAACACACAAGTCCTAGCAACTTTAAAGGAAAGAAAGGCAGAACGGTGTGATATTTGACTTAAGGATCAGATTTTTTTCAGAGAGAAAAAGAAAAGGTAAATGTGCAATTTTTATCCTTCATAGTAGGGAAGCATCTTATCATCTTTTTAGAAAAGCCTCAGCAGCTGTATGTGGCTAACAACCAGTTACCTTCCATGAAAGGAGAATCATGAAGCCTGTGGTTTAAACTCCAAGTATCACTAGGCTGAAAACCAACCCAATTCTGCATGTTCTTGTCTTACATGGAGAACAGTTAATAAGAGTAAACACAGCAATTACGTAGGTATTAACAACTCTCTGTTAGTGGGTCTTCTTTGTTTGCCAGAGTCCCAAGAGGGCTACAGCAGCTGAGAGGGGTCTAATAGAGTATCTTCATGGGTTAAAAAAGAAAAATTACAGGCAGGTAATTATCTTTGGTATAAGGTTACACAAACATGTGTGGCCTGTAGATGTAAAAAAAAAAAAAAAAAAAAAAAATTCCCACACATATGGCAGTATGTACAAAATAACTAAGATCAAAATCAAGTTCCAGTTCTTTCGTCAGAAGTCAGTCTTCTGTTCGTGCCGCCAAGTCTTAAAGTTGTGCTCAGGGTATCTGCCCACATTCTTCACACAGACATGAGAGGATAGATAGAGCATATTCAAGAGCATGGGAGGTACGCCATTTACTGCATCAGACAGAACACAAAATCATCCACATGCAGACGCCTCTCCTGATTTCTAGGTATTCAGCCACCTCGGTGCTTAGTTTTCTGTATCATATTCCTATTGACATATGACCTAGCAAGCCTCTTCACAGCCTGTTACAGAACTCTTCTCTTTCAAGACAAATGGTGGTCTTATGACACCCAAGCCCCACTACTAAATTTTCAAGTGCAATTCATTTATATCGGAGGCGGATAAAAGGAAGAAAAAAGGAGGTTGAAAGCTAGCTATATTTTGTAATACACAGATGTTTAAATATTCAGAAGCTATTTTTCACATTGCAATCCAGTTTGAAGGCTGTAGGAGAAAACTAGACTGATCTGTCAAGCACCCTCTTAGAGAGTTCCTTCTTGAATGCAACTAGGACAGTGCTAATTATGGACTGAAAAAGATAAATCCTTTGCCTACATATGAAAAATATGAAGGTCTCTGTTTGCAGGAAAGCCACATGCCCTTACATGACTACATGTGTCTATATTTATTTACTTTTTAAAAATTAAAAGTGCCTGAAAAAGAATCTGATGAAAAATGCTGAAAGTTACAGAAAGTCATGGGGAAAAAATGTATTTGGAAACTCAAGATGGTCTTGATTTTGCCCTGAGAATTTTCCACAATAGTTTTATATCAGTGTATTAGAGCCCAAGGACTGAGGAGTCTAAACAGCCCCCGCCTGATAGGCTAATGGGACTTCACAGATTCAGAAACCCACCAGGGAAAACTGATGCTATTTTGCAGGATTCGAGATAAAAACCAGCCTCTTTCTTTTCTAGGTGGCGCAGTGATGCTGCTGGTTTATGAATACACCTATTCATGGCTTCAGGAGAACTGGTGATGGCCTGTGAAGTGTTGAAATAATGGATAGCTGCTATATGGCCCCGTGAGGAGGGACTATCAGCTCAGCTGATATGATTATAAATTATAATTCTATGATCATAAATTATAGTTCTACAATTATACACAATTATTAAGGGGAAGTTTATGCAAGAACGAAATCTTTTTCGATACTTCAAAAGCTACCTCTAGACAATTTGAGACAGTAGTTTTGGCCATATCCATAAATCTGTGAGAAGAAAAATAATAGGAATAAGGTGTGTTAACGGAACACAGAAATCAGATATTTCATAAAAGCAATATAAATCTCATGACCTGTATTCCTCACACTGAGTCATGATGAAAATTCATTGTATTGATGTTTTCCCAGGAGATCGAAAAATGCTTAAAGTCCTAAAAAAAAATTAAGCCAAAATTTGAACAGTTCTTTAAGGAATTAAATTCTTCCATAAATATTTAAAAGGCACAAGGAAGATTTTTAAAGGACACTAAAATGGGCATTTTTAAAATACTGAATTTTATGTTAAAATTTAAATCCATTGGTTTTCTTTAGGATAATAATCTACATCACAGCTCTACTTTCCCAAATCTACATGCACTGTTTAAAAGCAGTCATATTTTTAAATCATGATATGTGAAGTCTTTTTAGGATTAATAGAAAACATGAAATTATACTGAACTACTTTCCTTCACACAATTCCCTTTGAAAACACTTTTTGTTGAAGTATTTTCTTGTTAAATCACAAATTGGAACCACTCCTTGGGCCCATTTGTGCTGTCTGTGTTTGCATCCAATTATCCTTTTTTCAGAACTCTTATCTATGCCGTTCTTAAAAAGAATGTTTCAGAGTAAAACTACATTTCCAAATTACTTTTAAATGACAGCTTCAGGTGTGAAGTCAGCTATCTGCAGTGTTAAAATATGTATTATGAAGGGGGAAATGTATCAAAATAGAAGTACATTCTTAGCATTTCCAAATACTCCTGTACTAACATGCACTCCAAAAAATATCTCCTTGGCACTGTTAGAACCAAACTGGATTTTATATTTGCATCCTGAAATGATGCTACTTCAGCAGCAAATGTCAACAAAAATATCTGCACGTTCTAGATGATACCTATTCTTAACTACTGAGGAATACTTCTACCATGAAGCTATGTCACTAAAGCATTTTGAAAATAAAAAATAAAAGATAACGTGATAATTATTACTTTTTATTAATTTAGAGCATTTGAAGTATAAAAATAAAGGCTTTTTGACATACTGTATATACATACACAGCCTTCAGTTGTACATCCTTTCCAATGTGTTTAATTCATATTTCAACCCAATATTCAATAAGAGGGTCATTAAAAGTAGGGGGGGAAAAATGTGTCTGTCGTACAACTGCATTCTGTCCTTTGCAGGTAATGCTCTCGCGGCCTGTGAGGGAGAGTACTGCCTGCATGGAGGCCATGAAATTGAACCTTTAACCTTTCCCCGTGAATGGGATGGAAAAGGACCTCTGAAGAGTGCATTTGCCAGTTTAAAAACACTTTTACCCCTAAGAAACAAAGGAAATATGTCAACATTAGCCAAGAATAACGTTTAAAAATTAAACAATCCCTCTCCCATACCTTCTCTTATTTTTAAAAGTAACTTTAAATCATAATTTGCTTTGAATAGCAAATTGCATTCTAGCTTTGTTGTCTGTCTTAAGTTACTCCATGTGAATTCACTGTTGCTAAGACCTGGGGGGAAAAAGACAAGAAAAAAAATCTTGATATCATTAATATTAGATTTTTTTAAAAAAATATAAGAACCAGAAATATTATAAATAGCATAACAAGAGATTTCTTAATTTAGATAAAGGAAATATTTCATTGGTTTCCATACAATTTTTTTTAAAGACTCTTAATAGCCACCTAAAAATATCTGATAAGGGAGAATTCTTTACCTTATGTCAGTTTTTCTGGCAGGCAGGAGAGTCCCTGTACAGTATGGTTTTAAAGTCTTCACCAAAATATTGGACTGGTGTCCTTGTTCCATTTGGTTTATAGTCTATTTTCTCACCAGACTGGGAACTCCAGATGTCAACAGGAGTTTACAAGATCAAAGGAAGACTATGGCCCTGAGAGTTCATCTGCTCCTTCTGCTTATTCTTTTCCTGAAGTTATAATCCTCTGTTTGTAGCACTGAATTTCAGTTGCTTTAGAAATAAATGCAGTTCAAAGTTCTCTAAGTTATCTGTAGCTGGAAAAAAGCAATTCCTCGAATATAACTTGTATGTCAGAAATCTGCTTACTGTTTATATGCTAGTGATCTGAAAACCTAGCTCCTCTAGCCATCTGAGTTTTTTAAATGAAGCCAAGAAACCAATGTGACGGCACTGGGTTGCCATGCAGACTGCACAGCACAGAGAGGAAGAAACCAAGATCACCTAAAGAATGCATCTTTCACATCCATGTCTAGTCACGTGCCCTTTTAGTTATTGCACAGAGTACCAAAAAAAAAACAAAAAACCCATAATATATTAATTTTCCAATAGATGAATTGTACCAATGTTTTAAAAATGTAGTTTCAAGCCTATATTGCCAAGAAGGAAGAACTTTCTAAACAGAAGAGAAAAAATGTAGAATTTTGCCCAAGAAAAGCAATTGTTTTAAAACACAACACATCACACACACACACACACGACCACAGCTCTACTATTAACATTAAAGTGAAAATGGAACTGGTCTAGAAAGACTTACTGGCTAAACTATGTCCTGTAGCTCCAGAAATGAATAAAGGGAATTTTAAAAAATTAAATAGCATTTGTATTTCTAATACCACCACCAGTTTACCTACACGTGAAACATGCTTCTGTACAACAATGTAAACTTCACAGCAAGCCGTTTTTACATTCATTAGAGCAGAATTTTCCATTTTCTTTAAATTACAACATAATTTTGGGCTGAGATTGCTGAACACACAGGTAAGCCAACAATAACAGTACATTTTAGTTTCACAGTGGTTTTCTTAAAGTTCATTTTAAGTGTCTTTGCAAAGTATTTCACATTAAACTTAAGTTTCTAAGTGACTTCCTTTAAAGCCTTCTTATTCAGGTATTTTCCACCCTCATGTCTTTATATGCTTGGCATGTGTGTTGTTTGATTAGGATACAAAATGGGAGACTGGCTTGTTTAATCTGTCTTTGAGTCCTCTGCTGTAGAAAGAAAATGTCCTTCATAAGATGTTGAAGCCTTCACTGCACACACAAAATTTGGGGCAAGTCCAGGTCCAGGAGCCCGAGGAGCCCACCACCAAACAGAGACAAAGACGTTGCCAGAAAGTCACCTTTGCAAAAAGAAAGAAAAAAATAGATAGGGGTGGGAGGGAGGGGGATATCCCATGGAATGAAAACACAAATGCACCATCCAGAGTACATATTTACAAACTAATAGAGAATATAAACACTACTGTATTTGGAACCGAGTAAAAACATCAGGAGGAGCTCAATTCAGATATTGCTTGTGTTACACATTATATTTTCCAACACAATAGGTTATCTCTTAAAGCATCACTCAAACAAGTCAATTATTGATTCGTTTCCTAATGATGAATTTAAGCTAGTCTGGTCACCTTATTTGATTAGAGGGTGCAGCATAACTCTTTTTCTCTATGTGTTTTCCTTTATTGATTTTGCAAAATCTCAACAATTGCACGTTTCAAAAGTTCAGGTTGATTTAGAATAAATATACACATGTGGTTTTACCAAAGACTAGTTTTAAAAGTTCCTTAAGCCCTTTGAGGGGTGCAGGTTTCTTTGCTACGTTAAAACAGTGTGTGGGCAACACAAATGTCTCATTCAATCCTTAAGATTGCTTTTGTTTTCAAATCCTAAAGTCACGTCAGGTTTTCTGCAAGAGAGGTTATGGCAAGAAATATTTAAGTGTCATCAGCACAAAGGATGTGAGTCCGTAAAGCCAGCTTTGGGGGCGGGAGGGCAGGAGGGGTGGGATCCAAGGCCAGGGGAGAGGGGGAGGGTGTGCTGAGGGGAGACCCGGGTGAAGTTGCTGCCGACAGAATTTCCCATCAGAGTGCGGAAGCCGTGACAGAGTGACTACCTTCTCTGGCTGCCTGCATTCCCTTGAAGGCCAGCGATGCGGGAATGTCACAGTTGTGGGGGGAAAGTGGGGTGCCGCTGGCATGCTGCCACCCATGTCCAGCCACATAACCGGAAGGAGCGGCGCTGTAGGTCATGTAAGGCGACACTTGGGCCGGGGTCGCATAAGGAGCCATGCTGGATGCTGACACAAAACTGCTTACAGCTGGTAGACCATTTGGTGCCTAAGAGTAGGAAATGAGAAGAGGTGAAAATAGTTACATGGTGGTAGGTGACATTTCACGGATTTTCAGAAAGAGGCAGAACGTAAGTTCTGAGGAGGACCAGCAGTATTCTAACTCTAATTTCCGGGTTTGGTTTTGTTTTGTTTTGTTTCTTAGATCTTTATGTTCTAAATGCATTCACAGTCTTGCTGCTTAAACGTAAGGCCAAAAGACAAGATATTTTCTTTCCACAAAGGCTCTGAGGAGGCTGCGACCAGAGAATTCGCAGTACTTGCTTTGCCATTTGGAATTATAGGAAGGAAGGAAACACAGGGTGAGGAAAGAATTAATGGTGATTAAATACTCGCAGAAGCTGTTCAGCTATCCGAATGCCTTTGTCAACCTTCCCTGTACTTGGGTTTTGTTTGGCTCTTTTGTTGAAGCATTTGTGAAGGGCCTGGTTGGCGTAGCTTTCATTTCCAGTAAAGAAGGGCACGGAGTGTAGGCTGTCACTCCAGACTCTCAAAACGAACATGACCTTTGTTAAATAAAACACGGGCCGTATTTTCAAAGGTCATGTTGAAAATGCCTGTTGGATAAAGGACATGCAGCATCAGACAGTTGTCTTGTAAGAGTTTTTAAATGAAGTTTGAGGAGATTCTTTTCCCCAGAGCTATTTTATCAAAAAGGAAACTGTCTACTGGAATATAAAAGAACTGCAGATGTGTGGTTTTGAAATTGGAAAATTGGTTTGCAAAGTCTTGGGGTCCTGTGATATGAATTTTTAAAAAGCCACATGGATAAATCTCTCGAAATGAATTTAAATGTAAAATCTTAGTTTGCAGACAAAATGCAGCCGCCCTGGCAAGGCACTCTACCCAGAAACCAGTGTTCTCTTGGCATCCAATAAATTATTGTTGGTACTGTTACTATTAACAACAATAAAAACACCCCAATTGCCTATCCTGATTCCGGCATTACCACTTGGTGTCTCAAGTAACTTATTTTCCCCCCTCAGTTTCTACATTATTTAGAAATAAAAAGTAAACTTGTTTCCTGGTAGTGATGTGACTGAATTAACACATCAACATATTTCCTAACGAGAGTAAATGTATAATATAATTACTAGTAGTAAAACTGATTCAGTCCTTAGAGGTAAGAAAAGAGCAGACATGTGTTAGATACTTTTTCCAGTTCAATTACAACATAGAAATTGTTTCCTAATTTAATTCATTTGGTTATTATTTTCACTTCCACATCTATGAAAATACAATGGTGGGCTCTCAAAACTGATTTCCTCAATTTAGAGTAATACATGGAATAGAATACACACATGAGTATGATTTTACACTGCTCATGGATTTCTGACAAAATAAGAGTAAAAGTAGAGAGGTTAACCTTGTGCACTTGGTCTGTAAGAACACACAGATCCTGTTCTTTGAAAAATGAGGAAGGGGAAAGGAAACTAAGGTTGCTTGAATATGCCCTATGACCTAGGCACCAAGAAATATACAACATATTTTATGGAATAATGAAGATTGGTGAATTGTAACTCATGATAAACTACTGGGTTTACAATAATGACAAGATAGTATGTAATGATTACAACACAATATTAATTTAATTTCAATTGAAATTAAAATGTATTTCAAGGGTCCCATAGGATGGTCTCTATTTTTAACAAAGAAATCATTGCACATCACTTTAAAATACAAATGATATCCTTATCCTCTTTTTATACACTAGAATGTAGATTAAGGAATTTAGCCATTTACCCTGGGCCAATTGGCAAGTCAATGGTCATGTGTTAAAAGAAGTTATCACCCCTGCCTGACACAGGATCCTCTGTAGCAAATCTTTTCCTGCTTTGCCAGGACAATTAAAGGAAAACACAATTTAATCTCAAACTAGAGCATCTTTTGAGATAACATCTCGTAAAAGATTCTTTTTTCTTCTAGAACCCTATTCTCATTGTTAGATCCTCATTCTGCTGCTTAACTTCTAAAAAAAAAAATCATTTCCCCCTTTCTGAGGATGGCTTATCAGAATGGTTCAAAGGAGACACACTCTAAGGCTCTCAGCAGAGGAGTATGAAGTTAGCTATCAAATTGCAGAAGAAATCTAGCATTGCATAGAGATTATAGTTCCAATCATGTTTTGTAGGATTTTCCCCATAACCCATGAGAAATTCGTTTCAAAAGGAATCATTCTGATCCACTTATAGAAAGGTATTTGTTTTGGCCTCTTGTAGATTATTTTTTTATCTGTTTACACCAATGTGAAGAATAAGCTTAACAAGCTTAAAATAAGAATAAGCTTAAAATTACTTTCAAAACAGTGAGAACCTTTGCTCAACATTTTACAAATACATAAGGTTAAAGTATTTAATATTATACATGACAGAAACAATGTGGTAGTTAGCCAAAAAATGTGTTGATGAATTTTATTTTTCATGACCACCAAATTTTTCCTACCCATTCTGTTTTCTTTGCATTTTTTCTATCATCCAAAATTAGTTATCTCTGAAACACTTCATCATCTTCCCTTTCTTTCCTTTACACCCTTGCCCTTGGAGCCATTGCTCTGTGATGTGCCCCCTCTATTAAGGGCTCTTCAGCCATTCTCTTGCAATGTCTACCATCCCCTCATGTGGACCCGCTTCTTTTTGCCCAGAAACATCCCTCCTGAGAAAGCAGGCTGGACTGGACTCTCATCTCAGATAATGCTCCTGGGATTCAGAGGGAGGAAGAACACTGGATTTAGGCCTGTGTTACCTTTAGGTGCCTTACTTCTGTGACTGCATTTGTTTGTCGAGCATAAAATAAACATGACTAATTTTTTCCATATTTGTCCAATTTCTCATACTTACGGCACCAAGTTTGCTTTTATGTTATTACAATTAGTATTAAGTATTTCAAAGTTTTCTAAAATCCACAACACAGTTAGTATCGATTTAGTGATGCAGTCCCCCCTGTGTTGCAGAAAGGATGAGTAAGAAGGGAGGCTTAGAGAGGTTTGATCTCCTCATCTTGTTAGAAAAAGGCAAGAGGAGGCTAAAGTGTTTGCTTAAAAGAAAAGAAGAAGAAAAAGAAAACACAAATCTTTAACAGTATAAAATAGCTCTTAGCTTGCCCTCAGGTTAAATTATGACCCAGATTTTGGGGTGAAAAAGTTTTGTCTCAGCTTTCCTTTTCACTTGTAAAGTTCAGATTTAGAAATTAGAAAAAGCAGCATAAGCAAGATGACAAACATGCTTTAAAATGTGCCTGCCACCGTCACCATTCATTCTAGTGGCTCAATAAACACATCAGTTTTCTCACTATTAATTCTGAAATATGACACTGGCAAAAGATATAAATCTCTACTAAGTAAAGTAATTGTTATTTATGAAGCAATCACTGAATGAGTAAAATTTTCCACCACAAAGGAAAACAACTACAGGTAGCATTGATGTTTGTTTATTCTTTCCAGTAAAAGAGTACATGACTTAAACTTCCCAAATCTGTTTAATGTTTTCAGTGAAGGGTATGTAATTAATCTGAAAAGCTAGTTAGGCTGAGTAGAGACTACCAAATGTACACCATAAATATACTGGGAGCAAACATGCTAAATTACTCTATTTAATTGGACTGTAAATATGATTTATAAATCAACCAGCATATGGAATCCCCAGAGAAGAGTAAACAAATTTTCCAAATGAAACCCCAGCAATGGGCATGTAATGGAAATCTCATTTTTGAAAATGGCTTTACCTAAAGATTCCATAAATAAGACCTCAATCCATCAACCCCTTTCTTATGTGGATCTTCCATAAAAGCCATGAGAATCCTTTCCTCTAAAGAACTACAGAAGGATCTCCCTGAAGCAAATGATCTTCTACCTAATTTTAAGAATGAGATTTACTAATGCAAAGAAAAATAGACCAAACGGCATACCCTAGAAAAAGTTGAATGTTGAATATTTTTAGGAAAAAAACAAAAACAAAACAGATTTTTATCTCCTGGCATTAAAGAAAATAGTCTAGGGGGGGGGAAAAAACACATAAAATACAATGTCTAGTTAAGGTTTGAATGAAAAAAAAATGAGTTTTCATTTTACTTGTTCTAAAATCTTAGAAATATAGATTTGCCTGGTTTTAAAAATATGTTTTTAAATTAGTAATATTGAGAAGCTATATTGGCAGAGAGCTAGATTATAGTTTGAGAACAGGGGCTTGCCTTAATCATCTCACATCCTCATAAAATGGGACATATCATTGGTGTTTCATAATCATTTGTATATCTAAGTTAGCGCAGCCTTTTGAAAGCAGAAGATATGACACTCTTGCTTTAAAAAAAAGTCACTTTTGATCACAGAACAAGCATTACACTTCAAGTAAGCAAAATGAATAAATCTGTTGAAAAAAGTAAGTAAAAGTTCTAATCTAGCCATTTCATGATTTGGGCTATGGTTGTTCCATTTATCCTCCCCCACTCCCGAGAAAATGGAAATGCATTAATATTCAAACACTTTTGACCACGGGGGGGAAAAAAACTGGCATGACAACTGTCTGGCAATTAGAAGTGATAGACAGTAGTCTTCCCATTCTGGAAACTGTCTAGTCAACATTTTCTCTCTTGAAGAAAATGCAAAGAGCAGTGCCCAGTCCTCTACCCACAACCTTCCATCCACTCATCAGTTCTACCTGGTCCTCCCCTTATGATAAAAGGAGTTTACTTTGGCTTTATAGTAAAGTAGAGTTAGCCACAAATAGAGATGTGCTTCACCTAGAATTTCAGCCTCCATAACATAAGCAAGAAAAAGCTTCAGATCTGAAAATGAACAAGATTTTCTTCCTTTTCTCGGTGCAGTCTTTTTTGTTTGACTATTGTTCTGCCCTTCTTCATTCATTATGCAATGAGCCAGTAAAACAAATCTGATAAAATGAAATGATGGTTGTAAATATGGTTTCAACATTTATCCAAAAAAGACCTTAATTATGCTTAGTTATCACACTGAGGATCTAAATGTCTCTAGGTAATGGAAAGCTATTTAAATTTTTCCTAAATTTTATATTTCCAAAATATTAAAATTAAGGTAGCCTTGAAAAACTTTTAAGTTACTTTTTTTTTTTTTGTATTTTATATGACATACTTTTCTGCTACACCATTAATCTTGTTTTAAGACACTAATAGTTAAAAGTTACCCTGGTCAAGGAATGTTTTTCATAATAGATAACATCATGAATTTCAAAGACTCTCTATCGGCATTTGCCTACAGTTGGATTCTCTACAAAAGTATAAATTACTTAACATAAAATTAACTTTAGTTCATATATTGAAAAATCCAGTGCAACTTCATTTATATTTTCATGGGAACAGTATGTCTACGAGAACAACCAGTGTTTAAAATAATGCACTCTAAAGTTATATTCAGGATTCTGAAATACTAGATTTCAAATACAATATACAAATTAATGCTTCACAAGAATTTCAGTTAATTTATGTCTCCAAATCCAACCATTTCCAAAACTTGTCTAACTCTTAACTTTTTAAGTATGTAAAGATCATTCCCAATTCCTGATGTCTCAATTTGTAGCTAATGTTATATTAAACTTGCTATCTGAGTTAACCTGCACTAACCAAAAATGAAGATACTCAAAGCTTATAAATCTAAATCTAACATTCAGATTACTTCAGTTAGAGGACAAGATATGTAACACTTCTTCTGAGAAAGTATGCCCAATCGGAGAAAATTTTTCAAGAACTATACAACTATTTATAAACTGTTTAAAATGAAGCATTAATTCACTAAGTACTACATAAAAGGGTAGATGTATTCCAAACACATCCCCCCCCCCTTTTTTTTTGCCATGCAACTACATTCAGTAGAGGTTTTATGTTTTAACAGAAGAGAACCAGCCATTCAGAACCAGAGACCATTGTTGCCATTCAGAATTAGAAGAGATTAAAAACTTCTAGCCCAATATTAAATGCAGGTTAAAAAAGCCAAAACAAATATTCTTTTTTCTTCTATCCTCAAGGGTAGACCATAAGGACTTCTAAATGGTAATATAAAGTATTGACTTCATATTAATGAGTAAGCCAAGTTTGAGGATTCTAAATTAGTGTTTTAAAAACAAAAGATAGGTGTGTATACAGCTGAAATGTGCATAAGGTTCTAATTACTAGCGATCAGGCATCCTTTTTTGCAGTTTAAGATGAAAATAGAAACTCTAGATTACCATAATCACTAGTACCTACAATCAGTTGTCAATTCAGTCCCTTTAGTAATTTTACAGGTGTCTTCTGGGAAAAGATTATGCTCTAAATCCTAGGATTCTGAATTCTCAATTTCCTCCTTTATGTACTAAAATGAAACTTGGATCATATAATATTGCACTATTTAATAAAAATTATAAGTGCCCTGAAGGTATTATGTGCATAGTTTGAGAATTTTTTGCCAAAACTTTCAAACTTTGTTCATAATACAAATAGAGAAAAAAATGTTACCTGAGTTTACATTTTAGTTTTTAAAATATACTTATGCTGATAATTTTTAAAACTAAAGCTGCTCTTTGAATACTGGTAAGGGAAATGCATACACATACACACACACACACACACACACACAACCTTACCACTGCTTTTTTGTTTATGAGCAAGTATTAGTATAGAATTTTACCCTCCAGGAAAACAGTGTCTAAATTCCAAAACTGATCACAAAATGACACAGCCTTAATTTCTCTGCCTACTTAGCACACCTTCATCATTAAGCACTATTTTGGTAATTATAATAGAGTAACCACTGATTTAATTGTACTTAGAAACTTTTGAAGTTTTCAAATTCTATATCAACTGAATTATATTACCACAGGGCAATACAGAAGATTAGCATGCTGCAATTAAGTTTCCAAATTTACATTTGATATAAATATCTTTTTCTTATGGAAAAAAATGGAACTTGTTCTCCTAGGTATTTAGAACAATGCTTATTTGGCCACTTAGGTCTTTAATTTACTTGCTTTTTATAAATCTCATAATTTAGTAATAATAATCAGTGTATAAAATGTAATCACCTTTCATGTTCCAAATATACAGAATAGATAATTTGAATCAGAGGTCTATTTTTATTTTAAAGTGGTCAGTTTGAAGTATGTGTGTAAATTAACCATTTCTAAATAAGTATAAACACTAGATCTATATAATTCGAGAGGGGAAAAAATGAAATCATCAAAGATTTTTTTAATTAAGACACTGCTTTATATATAAACTAGGTTTATCAACTATAGGTGAGAGTTAACAATTCTTCAACTCTCTACTTCACGATGTTATTCCAACAAATGACCTAATAAAAACTACTGAGCACCTATTAAATGCTTGCTACTATACTGGATGCTTAAAGCACACTCCTTCTATTGTTTGTAAAAAAAATAAATCCTGGACACTTTTTGACTATGAACTCTCTGAACAAAGTACATTCTCACACACCCCCAGCCCTCAAAAACGCTTGTTTTTAGAAGACCATCTCTAACCTCCATTTATAACCACTGGTAACTTTTAACGCATGCTTACTGTGGGGCATAAGGCTGCATTATCTCATTGAATCTTCTCAACATCTCTTGAGATTGGACTATTATTACCCCGTTTTACAGATGAAAAAATGGAGGCTCTAAAATAACTTGCTTAAGTGGCAACGTGCCAGAAGATCGGAGCTCCTAACCACTGTACATACTGCATCTTCTTTATGCTTTTTAAAAAGAAAACGACAAACTTTCATATAATCTCTCCATGACAGTCTTTACAGTAGAAACAGATATGGGAAAGGGACTCTTTCTTTACTGCTATTTTCTGGGATCTTTGTCATGGGAGAACTTAAGTCTCTGTTAACAAAACAGGGAGAGAAAAAGAAGTGGAAATGGCGTTTGTTTGAGAAAATGAGGATTAGGATTTCGCCCCCCCGCCCCAAGTGAATAAAAGCAACGAGTTACATATCACGTAAGACGCTGCTTTTTGAAAGATAAAACATTAGGAGTTTTATGACTTCAAAATAATAAAACGAAAACTGGGTATTTGGGGGCTTTGGAATTGGAGTTTGGTATTAAGAACCTGGCAAATCTATCCAGATCCGCTCAATGAAACCTTAGGCTGCTTTAAGGTCCGTGTTTGTTTGTTTGTTAGGGCTTTGAACTCCTGACTCCAGCTTGGTGATGAATTTAGGCTCAAAACTCTAGGGCTTCTGCGTGCTTAGTTTTTTCCTGGGGCGGGGGGGGGGGGGGGGGGGGGTTGGAGAACACGAGTGTTTTAATTTTCCTTTTGCAGAGTCGGGGGTGGGACAGAGGGAAAGAAAAATTAAACGGTCCACAGCCAGTCCGTATAATTTGAGGTTTTCTCACAAACCTCCCTTGGGAGATTACAACGTGACCTTTAATCTGGAAACGGTAACTTTATTAGGTTTATCTGGCTGCCCTCTCCTCACGATCACGGGGCAAGCCACGCTGGCGTGTTTTCAGGGGGCCGCCCTACGGGAAACGCGCGAGCGTGAGGACCCCGCGGCCCACCGGCCCCGACCTCCGGGGTGCGCTTCGCTGGCGCCGCGCGGAGAACCCGGGCCCTCGGAAGCGCCTGCCTTGGGTCACTAGCCACAGTGCGAGCAGCGGAATGGGCTTCGGAGGCCGCGCCTGCGGAGACCGAACAGGCCTGGAGGCGCTCCCGCCGCCTCGGCGCCCCGGCGGGGGGTCGTGGCCTCAACTCCGCCCTGGAAGGTCCGGGCCTCCGTCCCGCCTCCCCCAGCCGTGTCGGGTGGTCGGCCCGGGCGTTCCTCTCGGTCCAGGCTCAGAAAGGAACTGGGCCCTGCGTCGCCCGAACCCCCGCCGCCACGCGCGGCCCACCCGGCGGGGTCCTCGCCTCCTCACCTGGCCGTACTTGGCTTCCTGCTCCAGGGCTCCCTTCTCCAGCCCGTTCACCGCGTGCGGGGCGGCGGCGGCGAAGTTGTTCCGGCCCAGGCTGCTCCACTCCTCCACCTTGGGGCTGTGGTAGGGGGAGCTGTCGCTCACTCCTGGGGAGGCGGAGAGGGCGTCAAGCTGGGCATCCAACCCGCGCGCCCCCGCCTGAGACGTGGCCCGAAACGACGACCCGCGAGCTCTAGGCCTCCGACCCCTGCCCTCGGCCTCCCGTGAGCGCTGGTCTCAGGCGCGGCCTCGCGGGCTTCCAGCCCAGGGCCCCGCGAAGCGGACTCGCCTCGGAGGAGGCCTGGCCCACCTCTTTCCCCCACGCCTGCGGGAAGACTGTTTTTCCCCTTTGTCAAAAGCCTTTGATTTTCTCCGTCCCACCCACCCCCCGCCCCGCTCGCTTCCCCGAGGAATCTAATGGAAGGAACCTGGGAGTTTAACTAAATCAGGGAAAGAACACGTGAAGCTGGGTGCGCTATTTATCCCAATCGTAACCCGGGGTCGACTCCGGATTCAGTCTGGGACTGGCGCAGACTGAAAAGGGAGAGAGGAGCGTCCTTGGCCTGTGCTCCTGCTCAGAGACATCTAGAAAAATGCTCACTGTGCTGTGGGGATCTAGTACTTAGGTCAATAGATGAGACAAAAGACCTGCAAAGTCCTTTGCAGGCAAATAACTGCGTGGAATACACATGCAAAATATACATGCATGGTTTCTGTCTTGTGTGTGCATAACGTATGTGTGACTACCCTTGATGCTCTATGTCCACACATTAAATATGTGAGGTTATGTGCATATGACTCAAAAAATAAATATTACAATTACCCCTGTAAATGCCATCAGTGACAGTGGTAAGGTTATAGAGAGACAGTGGGTTTTGTTTTTTTTAGGAGATAAAAAGTAAAGAAAATGAAGACAGAATTAACTGTTTTGAAAAAGGAGTAAAGACCTCAGTTATCCTTTATGTTCTTAGTAGAGAAAGAAAATTACACGCTGTAAACTGATTACCACAGTATCTAGAGGTGTGCATATTGAACCACTGCCATCTTCAAATGACCAAGTGCAGTTTCAAAGAAAAGATATTTGAAGACTATGAGCAATGTGTTTTTGTCTTTGGGACCTATAGGTGGAGGACTGAAGTTTGATAAAGCCACTACAACTTGATTTTAAATACTTCCTTCTGACACAGTGCTTTGAAGGGGCAATCATTTTGTAGAAATGATCACTTATAGAAATAATTCTTTTATGTTCACAGATTTGTCAGAAAACTTGTTGTTTAAAGCTGGCATCCAGGATCAACATCTAGAATGAAGAGCTGATCCTCTCCATATAATCCCTTACTTTTTCCAACTAATATTTGGTCTCATTATAGGATCCCTGGGGAAGAACAGTTGTCTTTTCAACTCTGTCAGTCTTTTTTTCTTTCTTTTTTTTTTTTTTTTTTTTTTACTATTCCTCCCCCTCTCCAAAGGATTAGATTGTGTTCCAGTTTGCACCAGGAAACCGTGTTTTGGCGCAGACTGCCAGTCTCTTTGCCTTCCCAGACAAAAGGCAATCGGTGGGCACAAGCCTGAAGTTATCTTAAGAAATTGAGATCCCCCTGTGAGCCCCCATTTCTGCTGATCTCACACTTTCCCATGAACAGGAGCTTCCTTTAAATGTCAGTGAGGTCAGTTTATCCTATAAATCAAGGGCACACTCTCCAACTAAAGCTCCAACCAGCTCCGAAAAAGACAAAAGTGAGCTCCTTAGAAGAATCTTGTAAATTCAGTCAGAAAACAAGATGAGAAATCAGGGCTCTGCTTCAATTACATAAAAAGATAATTGTGCCAATGTGGTGGCAACAGAAAAATGCAGGAAATAAAGAAATTATCCCCCACCTTCCTATTTAATTTTTCTTCTGTGCTTTTTAAACTTCTGGCCAAGAAATTTTAAAGGTAGGCTCTTATTTCTGTATTATTTTAATTCTGCATCTAAGACATTTTGACTTTTTACCCCTACCAAGAAAGAAGCTAATGCTGGTTTTTCTTGTTGTTGTTGTATTGTTTTGTTTAACTATGAAGTAAAAGAAAACAAACTCTGGTCTGCAGAAGCCCAACTGAGCAGGAGGGCTCCAGAATCGTTCTTACCGACCAGAAAAGACACTCGGAACACCGCAAGGTCAAGGGTTTGAGAAAGGAAGAGAACAGTGGGGTGGTTCCGCTGAAAATGTGCAAGTACTAGATGTCCACTCGCATTTCGTGGGACCGGGAGACACCTAAGAGAAGCCGCAGGCCCGGGGAAAATGGGAAAGAAGAGAGGACAAGATGGAATCACCATGCATTTTGTCTCCATCACAGCCGAGGTTGGTGCCACTTCCTAAAATATAAATAGTGAAGTCTGTTAAGGTAAAGGCCGGGGGTGGGGGCGCTTGGAAAAAGGAAGAGGGAGAGAGAGAGAGAAATAAAGCAGAAAATTAGTCCCAGAATGAGCAATGCAGTAACATGCAGGTTTCTAGTAGTAACTTCAGGACCTCAGTTTCCGAGGAAAATGAAGTGAAGCATAAGAATGAAACCAATTAGGTGACATTTGAACTTCCTGCCTGAGCAAATTTGGCCTGATTGCCAGAATCCAAGAATACTGCAATTTCCACTGGGTGCCCGACTCCTCGCGGCCGCATCTGATCCCCAAACAAGCTGCCCGCAGCGGTGTCTGCAACCGGCAGCCCCACGCCCGCTCAGTCTTCCCGGGCTGAGCCCCAAGTCCAACCCAGGCCACGCTCTCCAAGTGAGCGAGCGGGTCTACGGCTGCAGCCGCGCGAGAGGCGGGGGAGGGTGGAAAATGCGAACCATGTGTTGGGGATGGGGGGATGTTATGGGTCTGGTAGTTTGAGAGGAGGCAGGAGACTGTGTGTGGCAAGGAAACGGAGGGCATGAATTTCAAGTTAATGAGATCAGGACACCCCCTGGGAGGACTTCTTAGTTTCGAAAGGAAAAACCCTCAGGTGGTGAAATAGACGCGGGCCCGGAGGCCGCAGATACCCGGACACCAGCGAGGGTGTAGAGGAAGACTCTGCAACGTCCACACATCCGGCCCGTAGCCCTTACCTTGGTCGGTGATGGAGCGAATGCCCAGGATGTCGGTGACCGAATGGGAGGAGGGCCAGGTACGGGGCATGGCCACCGAGCCGGGGATGCCAGGCACCCCGGGCGGCGTGGGCACCTTAGCTGCGGCCGCGGTGATGGGGCTCGGGTACGAGTAGATGTGGTTATAAGGCAGCGCCGGCTGCGGCGCCGGCTGGTGCTGCTTGTATGAGTCGTAATGGCCCTGTTGAGCCAAGTTGCCGATCTTGTTGCGCAGGATGCGGCTAATGGAGCTCACCGAGGGCACGTTGTACTTGTCACACACGCCGTCCGCCAGCAGGCGGTCCCGGATTTCCCAGGCAAAGATGCCAGGGTCCCTTTGCTTGTAGGTCCGGATGTGTTTCACCACGGTGGGGGTGGTGACTCGGGGTTTGCTGCCCCCAATGGCTCCTGGCAAGATCGAGCCTGTCTCGTTGTAGCGCGCCAGAATCTTGCTGACGCAGCCGTGCGAGACCCGTAGTTGGCGGCTGATGTCACACGGTCTGATGCCCAGTTGGGCCAGTTCCACGATACGAAGCCGGATGGCGTTGGGCAGCGGCCTCCCGTTCACGAATACTCCTCCCAGCTGGTTCACCTCCCCAAAGGCTGGCTCTGCAAAACGAACACACGGCGCGCGGGGACGCGCACCGGCAGTTTGGGACAGCCGTTTACCACTCGGCCTCTGCCCGCGTAAGAAGGCAGGGCGGATGCAACCATCCCGGACTAGGGACCTGGGCTTTTCCCAAACCCTACTGTCCCCAAGCCTCACCCAATGGCCCCAAACCATTAAGGTCGAGTCGGACCCCCTCCCCTCCCTCATTCCGGTGGTGCCCGCGGCCACTACAAGCAAATAAAGTGGTGAGATTCAGGGCCGCTCCAAGCGCTCAAAAGCCTCCGAAGCAGGCGGGGAGATCGGTGTTAACGCCTGCAACCGGCTCCTTCTCGCCTTCTTAGCGCTAAAGTCGTTGGGCCGCTACCCCTTGAGCCCCAGCGCCCCGCCTGGGGACCGGCGCGATTAGACAAGGTCTAGAAGAAACTACAGTTTGTTTGGGTTTTTTCCCCTCCTGTTCTAAGGGTGTCAGTGTATGTGAAACAAAATTTGGTCCGCCACCGAGGCTGCGGTGCTTGCTGATGCCACCGCTCCCTTCCTTTAAAATCAGAAAATGGCATCAACAGCAACCCAGTAGCCAGCGTTCAGAGTGAACTGCTGTGCGCCCTGACCCTTAGCGTGTTCCTAACAACTTGTAGAAACACGAGCAAAGTCAATAAGAAGAGTGCGGGCGCTCAGTGGTGCGCGCCCTCGCGCTCCCTCCCTCCCTCCCTCCCTCGCGCTGTGGTTCCCTCCCTCCCTTCCCGGCTCTGACAGCGTCCCCCGCCGCCACTCACCCATTGCTCCGAGCAGTACACCAACGGGGCCCCAGTTCCGCACTCCCAAAAAGAAACTTTTCCCACAGCCTCAGTGACCTGGCTCGTCGCTGCCCCGGGCCGTCGGTGCCTCCGCTTCTTCCCGGGAGGAGGCGGCGAGAGTGCAAAAGGAAGGAGTAAAAGGAAGTCTGTGCCCCGATGAAAGAGGCTAGAGTTCTGCATTTCAATCTAAGCAGCAACGTGGGCTGGCCTGAGCTGGGCCGGGCGGCTCCGTCTATCACTCACCAGGGACACGCCCTCCAAGAGGAGGGTCCGAGGGCAAGCTTCGTGGTGATTGGTGTGGCCCGCTGAGCGACAGTGCAGTCCGGGAAAGTCCTTCCGCTGTCTCTTTCAAGCTTGCTCTGCACCTGGGTGACTAAATACAATGAAAATAGGAGTTTGACACCTTCCCAGGGGCAGCGCAAACAGACAACACAATCAGGCTGAGAAAAATGCTGAATAAGCAAATGAAAGCGTTTGGTCTGAATTTAGGAGACTCGAAGGGGGAAGGAGCTGAGTCTTCTGGGAGGGGAGGAGGGACAGACAACTCAGAATTGAAGTTAAAACTTCAGGTGGGAGGTGGGGGGGGGGCCACCGTTATGGGGGAGGGGGAGGGCGGTGGTTCTTAGAATTGCCAGTCATATGGGCCTCCAGGGGCTGTCAGGAGAAGAACCTATTACCGGCAGATGCTACCTCACTCCAGCCCATGCCAGGTGGCGAGAGCACAGGTGTGAGACGGGAGGCCCCTCCGAATGACCAGGCGGTTTAGGAGAGACCGAGCCGGAGGTGGGGGCCACTGAGACCGCCAGGTGGAGACCCCTCTCCTGCCCCCGCGACTAGCCTCCCAACGCAGTCTCAAATGGGTTCATCCAGGAGTGCGGGGCCAAACCTTAGGCACGCAGGCTCCAGTCCGTGGCCGCGCTAGGTGTGCCTAGAGAGAACTTAAGCACAAGTGGCTAAAGCTAGGGCACAGCCAACGATTGCCTGTGCGTGGGGCACTCTCCTTGAAGGCCAGCACGCCGCAGAGCTCAGCCGCGGTACTCGTCTGCTCGTATCCAATGCCAAGGTTTTCTGGCTCCCCCCCCCCCCCACCAGTGAAAGGTTTAATGAAAAAGAGTCCCAAGAAAGTTGAACACTGAGACTGAACATACATGGAATCCCCGGGTATTCTGTTTAGCCACCAGAGGCCCTGCGAGTCCCCCTACTTCTAAATTTTCACTTTCGATCCCTCTAAATCCAATCTAAAGGGTACAGTACTCTTTTTGGCGGCCAAAGCTGATCACATTTTGAGTATGGGTTATGGGGAATGCTGGTCAAAATTAAAAACAAGATGGGGGAACATCTTTAATTAATGAACTTGGGTGTCTGTACTGCTTCTGATCGAGGATACTGCTACTGCTACTCGACAGTCAGAAAAGCTACTTCTTGTGCACAGAGGACTCCTGTTGATGCTCCCACAGTCCCGAGGGATGGATGTGTGTGGCTCTGGTCTACAAACAGGGCAGCTGGCTGGGCCCAGATTCCAGGCCAGTAAGTGACAAGAAGACAGAAAAGCGAATGATCATCTGTGCTTTTTGAAACGGAAAGCCATCTCCAGACCCTCATGCTTCTGTGGTTGGGGGCACAGTCTAATTTCAAATTTACAGATAAGGAAGAGTTGAAAGATAAAAAGAAAGATGAATTCAAACACCCTTAATTCTTTATACTCGAGTTCTTGTGAAAAGTCTCACAACTAGAAATACTTGAACGTGTCTGCCTTTTTGTTCGTTTCGATTGTTTAAAATCTCTCGCAGTCTGACTTGATGGCGATTTCACGTTCGTCTGACCCCTACTACCTACTGCTTGGCACTGCCTGGTATTTTACCACGCAGAGGTCCTTGGAGAATCCAAGATTTTTAATGCAGAAATTCCATCCCGGGGGTTGGGTGCAAATTAGTTGAAACTGAGATATCAGAGAGGAGCTTATGACTGAGGTTTGTGCGAAAGATTGAACATCCTGGGCTTCTGGATCTGGACGCTCCCTGACCCCTCCCCCGACAAACACGCACAGTGAATAGCTACTTCTTGCTCCGACTCTACTCCGCTCGCTCGCGCGCTCCCTGTGAGCGCCCCGCTGACTGTGCTGGGCTGCGGTGTAGGTGAAGGGCTATTCCACCTTCCAGCTGGCAAGACCCAGTGCCGGGATGTGGGTCTATGCGTTCTAAGGGGTTTAGAGTGGTTCTATAGCACCAACCCGGAGTGATCCAGAGACTCGCATTGTTTAGAGCTCTGGCTAGGTGGCCCTAACATACAAACCCCTCTCGTTCGCTCTAAAGTCCTTCAGCTCTCTCACACGTCCCGCGCTCTCAGATAGGTCTGCCACTCTCTCTCCGTTTCCACCTGTTGGACTTGGCCCCGGCAGCGCACGATCGTTGTGGCGCAGCCTCTGCTGCTGGCTCCTCGGAGCGCGGCAGGCAGGCCCTCACCACGCCGGGCGTTCGGTGCTCTCAGCTCAGCGCATTCCGAGGAGCCGGCGAGCCTCTTCGGCGTTTGGGGACGCAGAAACTGCGGCAAACTGAGGCTCCAACGTCGGCGGCAAACGGAATCGAAGCTTCAGGGAGCTGACAGAGGCGAGGGATCCTAGAGGAAGGGGCTGACTCTAAACCCTCCTGGGGACGCACAACGAGTGCTATGGTCAGGGAGCCGGCAAATCAAGAGTCCCCGCGCGAGAGAGACAAGTGACCCGAAGAAGGGAAAGAGGGCTAGAGGGTGGACGGGTGGGAGAGAGAGAAACATTAAGGGCCAGTAAGCCTCGACAGTGGACCTCAAGATGTAGGGCTTTGAGAAGGAGCAAGGGGCAGCTGGGGTCAGTGCTGCCTGGTAACTGCCGGCTCTGGACCCAGAAGATTACAGAGATCGGAAGAATTTCTCCTAAAAGACCAAAACCAAAACACAACCACCAGTCAGGGCTGCAGCTGATACGCGGTGGGGGTGGGGGGAGCCAAAGCGCCCTTCCAGGGTGCTGTCGAGGCCTCCTCCGAGCGGCTACTCGTCCTCTGGGTAAATATTTACTCTGTGGGGAACTGGAAGCTAGCGGGGGAGGGTGGGAAGGACAGGACTACACGCGGCGGAGGGATCCCTACGCCGGCGTCGGAGCGGACAGACGTGCACGCCCGCCAGAGGGGAGCCGGGACGCGGGACTTCGGGGGCGGCTCGGCCCCGGCACGCGGCTGGGGAACTTGCGCCCGCAGCGCGTCTCTTAGCCTGGACCCCTGCCCTGCCGCTTCGCGCCCCGGCCAGACGCCGTGAAGTCATCATAAATCTGTCAGCGGTCCCAGTGCCGCGGACGGTAAACTGTTGCGCGCCCCTCTCGGCACTAGCTGGGTCTGGGGAGAGGTGACCAGAAGAACAGGAATCTGGTTCTCTCCGAGGCCGCCCTCGCGCAGCCTGGCAGATGGCGCCCGTGGGGTGGGGGCGGGGGGGGGAGGACTGCAGCGGCGGGACCCCGGCGCTACGGGCTGTTGAGGGCGGGGGGGGGGGGCGACTCTTCCCTCGATCTCCGACCCTCACCGACACCCTGGGCTGCTTCCCGGGGTCCGCGGGTCAGCTGGGACGGCGGCTGGCGGACAGAATGAGAGGCGGGCGTGTGTACGCGCGGGAGAGGGGTCTCTCAGCGGCGCTTGTGAAGAGCAGGGTTGACAGAGAAGATTAAGGGGCAGATGCCTCCTCTTTGCCTTCCTCCTGGGGTCAGGAGCCAGGGCAGGCACAGGCGACCGTGCCCACTTCTCGTCTTGCCCAGGGAGCTCCAAGGGATGGGGAGGAGGCTGAGTCTAAGCTCCGGGACGGGTTTTCAGAGCACAGTCACTTCTTCCAGCCTTGTGCGGAGGGAAGGAGGTAGCAACAGGATCTCGCCTCCGGTTCTCCCGAGGGAGCTCCTCTCGCAGGGTAAGTGAAAGGTTGAGCGCGACGTAGAGAGAAAAAGAGGCCGGACTTCGGCCCTCGCCAAACTGCTCTCCTAACGCCCGGGACACGGGTTCCCACCCCGACCTCCCCATTGCTCTGTCCCGGCCACACGGGGTCAGCGGCCGCTCCTCCGCCTGCTCGACCTCCCGCGCCCGCCGCGGCACGTGGCGGCCGGAAGCGCACCCGGCGCCCAGGGCGAGGGAGGGTCCACGCTGAGCCGCGGGCCAGGCGGGAGCTGCGCGCGTCCGGGCGGCGTCGCGGGCGGCGGCCAGAGCCGGGAGCTTTAGGGTGAAGGAGAGACAGACCGCCAGGGCCCTCAGCCCCAGCCAGGGACCCGAGCTGGGGTGTGGAGGTGCCCACACACTGACCTGCAGGCCTGGACTTAGCTGGGCTGCGGACGCCGCAGGACGTACCAGCCCAAGTGGAGGTGGGGCGAGGAGGGGTGTGCGGGGGGGGGGCCCCAGAAGGAGCCCAGAAGATTCTCGGAGAATCGCCAAAGACTCCTGCCGCCTGTCCGCCTTCCTGCCGTTGCTTACGATTCAAGACCCTTTCCCCAAAGGGCAGCAGGGTGCGGGCCCGGCCAGCGCACGGAAATCCCGCCGCGGGGCCGTGGCACCGGCCCCCGGGGCTGCGAGCGCTCCTCACCAGCTTTCTCCTTCCCAGGCCAGGGGAGGGGCTTGTTGCCGCCTGAAACCCGCTTTTAATTCCCCGCCTGCCTGTTTCCGATCACCCGGGGTTGGTTTTTCTGTTTGTTCACTCCTTCTGTTACAATAAAAACAATCGACATTTCTTTTCAGTTTCCCCATATTAGCGTCACTCAGTAATTGTTCTCCACCCCCTCTTCCCCCCCCCCCCCGCGTTGAAGGCGAACTGGATTGCTGGTACCCTCGCGTTGGAAGGTTTCCGAGTATATAAGCAAATCTTCCCTAAAGACTTTAAAGTAAAAATAAATAACGGCCCGGGAAATTGCCATGACCCTAACATCACTTTCTGAACGCAAATTACACCCATTTTTCAGTTTTCAACAGCGGAATTGCTTTCAGA